AGAAATAGACAAAATGAATTTAGCAAAAGTCCTTTTAAGGAAAGCTAAAATAGATGAGCAGAAGAAGAGCTTGAAGGAGAGAAATATGTATGCATACATAAAAATAAATACTTACATATATATAAATCTATATCCACACACTCTAAGTGCACATGCACTCTGCCAAAACTCTGCCAGAGCATAAAAAACGTAAAAAAACAAAAAAGAAGTTTGAAGTTTTTCCTGTGGCAATGAAAACTTTTTCATGCACCACAAAAACTTGTGAGCAAAAATTATAAAACTGAATATGGAAGCAACGAAATTTAGACAAAACAACAAGAAGAAGGCAAGAAGAAAACATCAGCTCAGGCTGGCAGAAGTAAAGTGATACTTTTTATGCTTCTGCAGACAGACAGCAAACACCCACCCACCACCAGCCCCCTCCCAAGCCCGAAAGAGATGTAAAGCTCATGTCATACTCAAGTATATGACTCTAGACCATATAGACTGCAGCCACTGGCCAAGGCGAAATGGATGCTGCATCTCAGCTGTCTGCGAGCTGACAAAGTGCTGAGTGCATTTACGACTCTTGCAGTCGCATCTGTCCGAGAACTGTTTCAGCCAACTGTTTCGCATTTGTCACAATGGAGCCATGAGACGGCTCAGATAGCTCCGCCAAGACTTTCAGCTAACAATGGTATAGCGATTATTATGAAGCCAACAACACTTCCGTTTAAGGCAATATTTATAATTTATAGGATTTAAAATTGACACATACTTTTAGCTATAACTGTTGGCATACATTTCTGAGCAAAACCTACTACATCTGTTGGAATTTCATGCTCCCAATTGACGCTCCCTGCTGCTGAATGTATAGCAATAATTATTGAACTCCTAGTCAGTTGAGATCTTCACTCACCTGCTCTAACTGTTACCTGTACGCGTCGTTGGTGTTGCAACAGTTCTGGCCACAGAAGATGCCAATCATGAAGATCAGACAGCAGAAGCCAATGAAAAGGCAAACGACCGCCAGGACGATCAGAATCGCTGTTCCACTCTCAATCGAATCATCTGCTATCTGATCTGGGAGCACAGTTGGCCGGTAATACTCAGTTCTGCTCTCCTTGTAAGCATCCATCCCGATTTTTATGGAATTTTTCAACACACATATATCTAAAAATTTTACTGAAATACTGAAGAAACTATGTGCAGAGCATGCTTATGGTAAAAATATTGAAAAATAATATATAATATATATTATGAAAATTATTAAAAGCCTTTTTATATAATTTTTGGCTAAGAGATATT